GTTTTAAACAATAAAATTGTGTGAGAAAGAATAGATTATTACGTTTTTAACTGTTTACAAATTAAAGTATAAATGGGTGAAATGTACGAGAAAGAACAAATTGTTACGTTTTTAACTGTTTAAAAATAAGCCTAAGAGACAAATTAACTGTAAATGATGAATTGTGGTTGGCTGTCAATATTAGGCTCAGCAGTAAGGATAGATTAGTTCATCCTAGTGTGGGAGTGAACTGCATTCTTTTCAGAGGGGCTGCTGAGACTCACTGTCAATGCCACTTAGCCTCCCCTGCAACTTATTTCACTCTCTCCAAGACGTTGGCCGCCTATCTTAGATCTTCCCATTTTCAAGAAGATTGTGAGCTCCATCTGGTTTAATATCAAGGTGATTCTGTTTCCATTCCCATCTATATGGGTCCGTGCACCATTTCCACGATGTACCTATTCTCAGAATATATGGCATCAACTCCAGAACATGTGTTGCCAACCTTGGCAGCCTAGGACACGGCTAGTGTTCATTGCTTGGGCTGCTCTCCATATTACTATAGATACCTGAGAAAGAATGATAGCACTCTATATTACCAAAGCAATAGTTATGATGGTTGGAATTTTCTTCCTCTGTCAATTAGTTATGATGGTCAAAAAGCTTATTATTGTATAATATAGAGGTGGCTTCATTTATCACTGTTTAAACGAGCAAAATTTAACAGTGAGCCAATGAATCATGAAAGGTTTAACTTTTCTCCATTGAAGGAAACAGCTCTGCACATCAATAGAAGAATGGAAGTTTCTAATTATTAAAAAATCACAGAAGGGGTTTATTTTACAGGTATAACGAGTCACTATATGGTCACCACAATAATAATTACTAAATAAAAAAACTTAGTAGTAAAATCCATCCGTATATATAAAGTTTAAAAAAAAAAATACACAGTTTTATAACTTTTCATGTGTTAACCATACTGTCATATAATTATCTTTATTTATATATTGCTCATTAAGGAAATACTAAAATTTGCAAATATAAAGAAATTTAGATGAGTCGGAATTATCCACAATTAATTAAAATCATCATCAACCTTTCAACATAATGGATTGTTTCTTCCAGTTTGAATTATTTAACAATCACTGCACAGTCATATTTACAGTAAATATTATATAGAATACAATTTACTAATTTTACAATATAAACTTATAAACAATATCTTTTCTACTTGGATAAAAATAGGGTAAAAATACGGTTAGCCCTTAAACTTCATCCCTGGTTTCAAATAAACTCTTGGACTTTATGTTTCTTTCAATTTGATACTTTGTTGTAGAAAAATGTAAGGAAAGAACAAATTGTTACGTCTTTAATGCTCCATTTGATAAAAGAAATAGAAAGTAAGAAGGATATACTTTATATCCTTTAAGAAAGATAAGTAGAAATGATACAATTTCTTTCCTTTGTGTTTGGTAGGATAGATGAAAAGTAAAAATGATTTTTTTTTTTTTTTGGTTCTTAATAAGATGGAAAAAATATATATTTTTTAAATTTTAATTTTAATTTTAATTTTTTTTTTATTTTTTATTTTTAAAATTTTATTTTAATTTTTTTTAAAAAGGTATAAATACATATTTTGTCATTGTTTTTATATATGAAATTAATGTATACATAATATATGTATATATCAAAGGATATATAGACAAATAAAATACATTTCAATACAAATAATTAATTTTTCATCAACTTTTTCATCCTTCAAATTTCATTCTTTACTAAACATGATAATTTATTTATCCTTCTAAATTTCTATTATTCTATTTTTTCATCATATCAAACAGAACACAACAATTTTAAAATAAGCTAAATACGAATTCCAATATAATTAAAAAAAAAAAGAAGTACGATACAATACATGAGAATCTTTTCATTCCTTAACGATTGATTTTGTCTTGAATATAGTTAGTTTAACATAGTATCAAGCTGTATGAGACTTTCGGGTAAGGTTCTCATAGTTATTGATTCACCTTTTATCTTTGTCATAAGTACCATTCGTTATATCCTAATCACGTAATTCCAAAGAATTTCATTGATTGTTCAAAATAATTTTGTTAACTTTGCGTTTCTTGAAATTCTAGATTCTAGCAAGGTCCTTGGGTCGCTTCTTTGAAGGAGTGGACCAAGGGGATGCCAGTTATCCAGCCACAGGCTGATAGCATTCCCATTACCTACCCTGTGGATAATGCAAGGCTTGAGCAATTATCTAAGTTTAAGCAAATTTTTTCAATTCCAAGAGTATGTTTGGGTGGCTTTGAGGTCCCAAAGGATTCTCCCCTTGATGTAATAGGCATGAATCCACTGACACCATAAATTCTCCTTGTCATTAAAAAGCTGTCATAAGTGCCTCATAAGTAGTGTTCTATTCCAATCCCTCAACCTTTTGATACCAAGCCCTCCTTCCTCTTTAGGTTTACATACCTCTTTTCAGGAGACCTTTGCTCTCGTATGATTAAGATCAATACCTTTCCAAATAAAAGATCTCAAGGTCTGTTCAATTCTATGAATAACCTTCTGTGGAAGACTCAAATGAGAGACCCAGAATATGTGCAAGCTGCATAGAATAGAAATGACCAGCTAAACTCTACCAGCATATGAAAGTGATCGATTGACCCACGACTTAACTCTTGATTCCACCTTTTTAATAAGACTGGAGCAGTGTTGATGCTTCAAACCAGACGAAATGAGTGGAACACCTAAGTATTTGATAGGCAAATTCCCCTCCTCAACAGCAAACAAATTCTTGATATGACAAGCAGTATCTTCATTTATTGCACACAAAGAAAATATTACTCTTTCCTGCATTAACCTGGAGCCCTGAAGCCACACTAAACTGGTCCAAGGAATTCTTGATCACTGAGGCAGAGTTGATGTCATCGTAGCAAAACAACATCAAGTCATCAGCAAATGAAAGTTGGGCAATTTTGAGAGTTTTACACCTTCAATGGAATCTGAAACTTGGATTTGAACTAATGTTGAACTGGATAAGAAGAGATAAACACTTCATTGCAATGACAAAAAAGTAAGGGGACATAGGGTCACTCTGCCTTAAACACCTCATACTAGGGAAGTATCCAACCAGTCCACCATTGATATTCACTGAGAATTTAGCAGAGGTAACACATGCTTGAATTCATCTCCTCATGGTGTAAGGGAAATTAAGAGCCTCCAATGCTTCAAACAGAAAAGCCCAGTCAAGTGTGTCATCAGCTTTCCTCAAATCCACCTTTAGCGCACATCTAAGGGACCTTTTATTTTTATGGTAATGCCTCATTAACTCTTGAGTGAGTAGAATATTGTCACCAATCTTTCTTCCATTGACAAAGGCTGCCTGGTTTGGGTTTATAAGACTGGGAAGAGAACCTTTAATCCTACTGACAATAATCTTGGATATAGCTTTATACATGACATTGCAACAAGATATAGGTATGTAGTCCCCCATAGTAGTAGGATTGGGAACTAACTCAATGATGGTACTATTTACCTCCTTCAATAACCTTCCTGTTGAGAAAAATTCCTTCGCAGCAGCAACAATGTCCTTCTCTATGATATGCCAAGCCCTTTTAAAAAACACAACATTGAAACCATCAGTACCTGGGGCTTTTTGTGATCATTGAAGGAGAAAAAAACTTTCTTGATTTCCTCCTCAGTGACTTCCCTTTCCATTTCAGCGGCTTGTTGATCGGTAACTCTGTTTTGGATAATCGGTTGCAACAAATCCCTGCTCTCATTTGAATAGGAGGGCTGTCCCAAGAGCTTTTGAAAATAATCCAAAGCCTCACCTTTCATAGCTTGTTCCCCCTCAACCCTCGTGCCATCAGCTCTCGTAAGAGCCAAAATCTTTTTCTTGTTCCTTCTATTAGCCATAGTCTTGTGGAAGAAAGATGTATTCTTGTCCCCTTCGCTGAGCCATTGGACCTTAGATTTCTGTTTGTAAAATTCCTTCTCAATCTTAGCAACTTGAATGTACTTTGCAAGGAGTTGTTGTTCCTCTTTATTCATGGCAATGTCACTTGGGTTACCATCCAACATTCTTTGACATCTCTCCAAAGCTTCTTTGGCTCTAACTGTAACTTCCCCAATATTCTTGGTTATCACTTTAAACATTGTCTTGAGAAGTTTGAATTTGTAGCAAATACGATACTGACACGTCCCTTGAATAGGTTGTGACCAAATCTGATTCACCAAGTCTAAAAAATCCTCTCTCTCAGCAAGAAAGTTAAAAAATTTGAAAGGGTTGTATCTTCTTTCCACTTGAAGTCCTAAATGCACAACAGCAGGACTATGGTCAGAAATACCAAGAGGTAAAATATATGTCATAGCCTGTTGAAAGGTGAGGCTCCACTTTTCATTCACTAGGACTCTATCCAGCTTACAAGCCACAAATCCATGATCACCCCTCTTATTACATCATGTAAATTGAATATCTGAGTACCTGAGATCGATAAGCTCGGAATCCTGTAAGCATTTATCAAATTCTTCCATTCCAGAGTTCCATCTGTTCTATCCCCCTTCATTTTCCTGTAAGCTCCTAATAGCATTAAAATCACCTAAAACCACCCAAGGTTCATTTGAGAAGATACTAGCATGGTAGATAAGATTGCTCCATAATGGTCTTCTTTCTCTATCATCATTAAAGCCATAGACAAAAGAGGCTGTGAATTGTACCCTACTCTCAAGATGCTTGATCTTGCAATGAACAACTTGATCAGACTCAAAGATCTTACTAAGCTCCACATTATTTGGATTCCACCCAATCCATATCCTTCCAAAATTATGACTATCATAGTTTGCTGGACAATTCCAATCTCTAAAGACCTCCTGTATGATTCTATTTTTATTTACAGGTTTCACCTTTGTTTCAATTAGCCCCAATATATCAAGTTTCTGTTCAAAAATAATTTTTCTAACCACCCTATGTTTAGAAGTCTCATTAAGACCTCTAATGTTCCAACATGCACAATTCATTGAGGGGGTTGGATTTTTCTGAGCAAATGGTGCTCAGCTACCTTGGACTTTGAGTATTTCTTCTTCCCTTTCTTCTTTTTGTTTGGCATTTGTTGAAGCTTAGCACTAATTGGTTCCTCCTCCTTACGGACATCCTCGATTGTTTCATTTGGTACGTTTGCTTCAGGCTCAATCTCCACTCTTAAATCAACCACAATTTGCCCCCTCCTTGTTGAGCTCTTCAAATTTGTTAGATGTCAAAGTAACACCAGCTTGCATGAGCAGTTGAGGAGGGGTACTCTCATTGACTGTTGTCTTAGTGATATGGTGATCATAACCCAAAATATCTTGTTGAGAAGAGTTAGAGGCGCCACCTTGGATAACCATTCCCATATTATTCTTGACCGTGACGGAGGAAGAAGCTTGGTAACCTCCTATCAATTCTTCTGCTTGAGTCTGACCAGCCTCTTGCTGCTCTAACCCAATCATAGTTGCAATTGTCTTTCCCTTATCTAGCCTAACTGAGTTGGCCTATAAAGGAGCTGGTTTGGGCTTCCAGCTTTCCACAGTTCTTTGTTTGGGACAAGTTGACTCGTTGTGACAAAAAATGCAACAATTATGACAAATTTTAGGTCTCCATTGGTACTCCACCTTGATCTCTATGGTTTCAATTTTCCCATNTATCAAGTTTCTGTTCAAAAATAATTTTTCTAACCACCCTATGTTTAGAAGTCTCATTAAGACCTCTAATGTTCCAACATGCACAATTCATTGAGGGGGTTGGATTTTTCTGAGCAAATGGTGCTCAGCTACCTTGGACTTTGAGTATTTCTTCTTCCCTTTCTTCTTTTTGTTTGGCATTTGTTGAAGCTTAGCACTAATTGGTTCCTCCTCCTTACGGACATCCTCGATTGTTTCATTTGGTACGTTTGCTTCAGGCTCAATCTCCACTCTTAAATCAACCACAATTTGCCCCCTCCTTGTTGAGCTCTTCAAATTTGTTAGATGTCAAAGTAACACCAGCTTGCATGAGCAGTTGAGGAGGGGTACTCTCATTGACTGTTATCTTAGTGATATGGTGATCATGACCCAAAATATCTTGTTGAGAAGAGTTAGAGGCGCCACCTTGGATAACCATTCCCATATTATTCTTGACCGTGACGGAGGAAGAAGCTTGGTAACCTCCTATCAATTCTTTTGCTTGAGTCTGACCAGCCTCTTGCTGCTCTAACCCAATCATAGTTGCAATTGTCTTTCCCTTATCTAGCCTAACTGAGTTGGCCTGTAAAGGAGCTGGTTTGGGCTTCCAGCTTTCCACAGTTCTTTGTTTGGGACAAGTTGACTTGTTGTGACCAAAAATGCAGCAGTTATGACAAATTTTAGGTCTCCATTGGTACTCCACCTTGATCTCTATGGTTTCAATTTTCCCCTGGATGTCCATGAGGAGGTCAAAACTTTCAACCAATTTTTCAACAGCATTCACCTCCACACATAATCTTGTGTAACTTAATCTCCTCTTATTTGTTGTAAGAGTGTCAACATAAAGCGGTTTACCCACTACACTAGCAAGGTAGCTAGTCCTTCATCACTCCAAAATTGGAGGGGGATGTTATGCAACTTAATCCATAATGGAATTACAGAGTGGTTCTCTTTGGTTAGGCAAAGATCAGGATGCCACTTTTTGATGATGAGTGGCCTATCAGAAAAAAGCCAAGGGCCAGCTTCACATACTTTGGTTCTAGACTCATCATTCATGAACTTAAAAAAATAGAACCCCTTTTCATTTGCATAAACCTCAAGGAGACCCATATTGCCTCAAATCTTGTGAGCAATAAAGCTAATAGATGTAAAGGGGAGTTTTTTCTCTATGAAGTAACCAACGAGGCAGTTTCTCCACTCATGACAGCCCTTAGAGACAACTTACATGGGGGGGGGGGATGGACAATGATTCTATTCTTCTCTCTTTTGGGTTTAAAGTATTGAAGGTTCATTACCTCAAAAGGGTGTTGTTGTAGAGAGCTGGATTTTTCCATAGCATTCTGCTTTAATACTTGGCTCCATGGCTTTGTAGGTGTGGGCTTAGTTTGTGGAACACTCATATGCTTGCTTGGATGCTGCGGTGGTCCTCTATCTCAACATCAAATGTGGTTGAAGTCACGGATGGAGTCTTGTTTGCAATGACTTCATTCGCAAAGAAGGTGGGTTAGGTGGAGTATCTTTCTGTTCACTGCCTATTGATGTTTTAGTGAGAGATTGGGTTGACCCACTTTCATTAATAGCTTGGTAGTTGGCAGAACAAGTAGGAGCCCCATCGATCTTTTTCGAAAAAAAAATCACATACGTTAGATAAATAATTTATCTTTCACATACGAGTGGTAGTCGCGCGTGTAAAGAGTGTTAGAATTTGTTTCGCATGGATACTTGTGTGATGTACATTACACTTGCATAATTGACGTTAACCAATCACTTCCAAGTCTACTACATATGCATGTGTAGAGTTATCTAGTAGTGTGTCTTATTATTAATTTATAATAGAACTAGTTATTGTTTGTGTCTGAAAGCACAGAGTAATAAAAAATAATAAACAATAAATATATTTGTATTCATATCCAAAATTAAATAATAAATATAAAGGACAGATAAATAAATTTAAGCATCGATTGTAGTGAGGGTGAGAGGTGGTGGGCGACAGTGGTGGTGGTAGGAGACGGTGATGGTTGTCGTGGGTGGCAATGACTGTGGTGGTGATGGCGGTAGCGGTGGCGGTGATGGCGACGGCCATGGCGGCGATGGTGGTGGCGGCGGTGGCAATAGTGGTGGTGGGGGCGGCGACAGTAGAGACGACAGTGGTAATAACGGTGGTGGGGGGTGGCGGTGGCGGTGGTGGTGGTTGTGGCAGTGGTGGCTGTGGCGGCGGTGGTGATGGTGGTGGCGGCGATGGCTGTGGTGACGGCAGCAATGGTGGTGGGGGTGGTGGCAATGGTGGTGGTGGCGGTGACAGTGATGGTGGTAGGGTGGCGGCGACAACGGTTGCGGTGGTGGTAAGCCACCACCTGATCTAATGAATCCTATGTTACTACTACTATTATTTATTACTGAGAATGGTGAGGAACCTTTGTGGTTTGTAGAGCTTGTCCCCCACTACTTATCTTTATAGTCCCAGGGTATAGGCTATTATATGTGGATATTTCTGAATCCTCATCGTTTCCAAACCTTACTGGTCAATCCAAGAATAAGAGACAAATTCTAATTACCAATATATCGTAGATGAGGTTTATTTATAGGATTATCTATAATGAGTCACTACACGGTCACCGCAACAATAATCTTTCAATAAATAAACTTACTAATAAAATTCACAGGTATATATCCTTTTTTTTTTAGATACACATTTTTATACCCTTTTCACGCATTAATCATAGTGTCATAAAATTATCGTTTTTTAATTTTTCACATCTATCTCAGTAAGGAAGTAGTAAAATTTCCAAATAGAAAGAAATTTAGATGAGTTGGATTTATCCACAACTATATCATCATCAACCTTTCAACTTAATGGATTGTTTCTTCCAAGTTTGAAGAGAATAACACTTAATTCTGATGAGAATAACACTTGAACCAGTTGGATCAAGGATCACCATCTTAGGGGCAAGAGCATTTGGGAAGCCAAACCATCATAGGCCTATTCAGGGAACTGGAGGAAGCTGCTGCAAGTCAGGGAATTAGCAAGACCTTTCACTCTTTATGTTATTGGAAATGGTAGGAATACATCTCTCTAGCATGATTTTTGTTTGGCATCCTAACAGACCTCTCCTTCTTAATTGGGGTCCTAGACTGATTTATGATACTGGGATCCCTAAGAATGCCAAAGTTGACTCCATTATCCAAGATAACCAGTGTAAATCCTAGAAACTCTAGAATTATTGACGAGATCATCTCTACTGTGCCCAATTACTCCCCAACAATTGAGACAAAGGATGAGATCAAATGCCTTCACCATGTAAATGGCAAATTCTCTACTTCTTTAGCTTGGAATCAAATCAGGACCACAAAACCTGAGGTGCTGTGGTACTTTCTTATTTGGTTCAATCTTTGCATTCCTAGGACCAGCTTTATCCTTTGACTTGCTATAAGGATTAGACTGATCACAAAGGACAGAATTCATAGTTTTACACCCAACAATGGAACGACTTATGTGCTTTGTAGAGCTAATCAAGAATCTCACTTCCATCTATTCTATGAATGCTCATACTCTGAGAGAGTTTGGAAGAATCTCATCAGTAAGTGTGATTGGCCATGGCGTTCTTCTTCTTGGCGGAGTCTCATTGAGGCTATGTCCACCCAATGGAAAGGCAAGGATCTGCAGAATTTCATTAGGAAACTATGTCTTGTTGTCACAGTTTATGTTTTATGGGGTGAAAGAAATCATAGAATTTTCACCAATGAGTATAAAGATCCAGGTACTACCAGATGACGGTGTTGAATATGGTGAGAAGTAGGCTTCTCTCAACCAAAGTCAAGGACACCCCTCTTCATAGAGAGACTGCTTCTCCTTGGCAACTTCCAGGCTCTTGTTTTTGCACATAATGTAATTTCAGTTTGTAGTTTACAGGCTGTGTAGTCTGTGGGGAGTGCAAAATGCATCCCCCCCGGACTTCCTCTGCCTGCTTTTGATGGACCGACTGCAGGATGTTGCAATCTTCTACATGTTTCTTTGTTTGATCTATTGCCTTTGGGGTTGTATGTTGCTTTGTACATTTGCATTTCTTCAATACATCGTTCTGTTTATTTACCCAAAGAAAAGTTTGCAGAATTTAAGAATCACTGCACAGTCGCCTTTACCATAAATATGAGATAGACAGCAATTTACTAATTTTGCAATTTGAACTTTTAATTAACTACTATCTTTTCTACTTGGGAAAATATATGGTTAGCACCAACACTATGGTTTTTGCAATTTTGAAAAAAATTCCGTCTTTTCCTGTTCTTGGTTATGCAAGCATAGGTTTCGGGGGTACCACTCCGCAAATAGAAATTTTGTGCCAGCTTCCAGTGTTCATCAACGGCACCTGAGCTTAGCAACTGCACTTCAGGGCACTCTGAGAACTGGATGCTGCTGTCAACTTCTGGGGACAAGCCCACACCTCGATTCAATGTAAAAGCATTCGTAGTCATTGGCACTAAATTTGCTATACGTAGTGCATTGTCATAATTACTACCACTATAATTTTCGTTAGAAATTGAACTTCAGTTTTTCCTTGAATAGCATGCAGCAGCTGTAATTGGGAACAGGATAGTGGTCGTAGGTGGTGAATCTGGAAATGGATTGTTAGAAGATGTGCAGGTAATTGGATTTTTTACTTTTTTCAAATGTAAATCATATTATGTGGGAAGTTAGTCCTTACAGTATCTGCTTCTTGAAAATGTCTTCTAGGTAAATATTGGGAAATAACTTGTTAAATAAGCTTATCTCACTAATCTAATTAATTTGTGCAGTATGGTTTAATGTGCGTCATTAGAATGCAGAAGTTGTTGTAATTGCTTAATTTTTCCTCTCGGGTGCTTAACTTTGACAGATTTTCCTGGACCACAGCTTCATCAAAGCTTTACCTTTCACCGAGTAGTCTGCCACTAAAAATCCCTGCATGCAAGGGTCATAGTCTGGTATGCTTGTGCTACTTAACATTCATATTTCATATTGTGTTTGTTTAGCATTAATGGCTTGCACTGAAGTTGTACTGTTGCATAAAAGAGTGCTATAAATAATGTGAGATTAGGTATTTGTTATGCCCAACTAAGGTGTTGGAAAAGCTTTCACTTTTGGTGATGCTATGAACTTAAAAACAACAGAAACCATGAATTAATAGACCAACAAGGTAGTGTTGGTCTAAGTGCTAGATTTTGGCCCTTCAATTAGAACTTGTTACCATAAAATGTAAATTACTATTGTAACTGTTAGCCACAGCTTCCACATTTTTCTATTGTACTTTCCTTTTAATGCACACATTCCTAATGTGCACACACTTATCCACATAACATTCTGCATGGGTGATTACCCTGTATCATGCTGCCACACTAAATTGTGCTACCATATTGTCAATTTCTTTCTCCTCTAAGTAATCAAATTGCCATCTATGGAGGTGCAAAACCTAAACATAGACTTTCTATCTAGATCACCTCCAATCTTGGAAACATTATAAAAGGAAACTTTTTGAAAATATTCTAGTGGTCAAAATACATTAGGGACAACCTAATGTCCCTGTTTCAGCAAAAAGATCTGTTTCACGTTTTCTTTGAGAGAAATACCTTCTCTTGATAAAGCCGCCGATGCAAAAGGAATACCTTAGTTCATCCAGATAATACTCAGGCTTCAATACCATGTCTCACAAAAACAATAAATGGGGTGAGACAAATGAGAATAAAAGGGTCTCACCTAGGAGGAGG